AGGGTACAGATCTCCTTGTAGAGGAAAGATGGCAGATAAGAGAGTCCTAGCTAAAATAATTCTTCTTCCATTAGGTGCTGGTATTGCTCCACCTACTGATGAGAAGACTTGGCACCTCATACACTCTATAACCTGGCACCAGCATCTTCTCTTGCTCCCACTTCAATTTTTCTGCCTGAAGAGTACCTATTTCAGGAGCCAGAATAAAAACAGTAAGTAAGGGCGTGCTGTGAAAGCTAAGCTCCTCCACGCCCAGGAGAGAGAAGAGGGGGTAACTATCCCTATGATTTTAGTAAAAGAGAACAAGCTGAATTTCCACACTCTCCCCTTTACTTTAACACCTGCTGAGGTGCTTTAGGTTGTTGTACTAGCCACCGTCAAGCCACCGTCTTCTGTGAGGTTTTATACAAAGTCAAAAGCCATTTTGAAGATCAGCATCCGTCTTGAGGAACTAATATCAAGATAAGACTCTCTCTAAGGTCACTGGCTCAGAACAGATAGATTGCTGGGAAGATATCAAGGCAAAATAGAACGGAGTAGAAAATTCCAATGAAACATTGGTTCATTGGTATTTGCTAAATCAAAAAAAAAATCAGACCGTTTCATGGAGACAACTTGATTTCATTGAAGTTCTGATAGGACAAAGGCAGCGGTTTCATTGCCTGATTTCCTGCCAGATTGCCTGCCCAGCTTCTTGGCAGCCTGCCTGGTGGTCTGTTGGGGAGCATATGTTTCCAGGGTCCATGGCTCTAAGGCAGCCAGCCAGGCAGAGAATTTTAAAACATTTGGGTTTTGTTCCTAACTGGATCAAAACCAAATTTCAAAGTATCAAAATCTTCCATGAAATGCAGTTACCTTTGTCTGCACAGCTCTACTCAGAAGCTAAATTTTGCTGGGCTTGTGTCAAGGAACAATCCCCTCTGTGCTTAGTCATTCAGCAGCTCTAGTTTGCTGGGCTTATGGGCGAGCACTGGTCTTTGTGAGCTCATTGGCTCAGCACCTGTCACTTCCTGGGCAGATGCCAAGGCACAGACTTTTTCCAACATGTATTATCTCATCCATTTTAATGGCCTACTGATGTCATGGCAAAGGACCCAAGTTATCGACCCAGCTCCTCTACCTTGCTGGTATGAAGTCAAAGGAAAACACACCGTGAAATCACTCGCTCAGCCCCTTAAGCCTGGGCTGATTTCAGGGCTCTGACTTCTCTAGGGTCTCTGGCCCAGCAGCTCTAATGTACTGCACTATTATCAAGGTGCAGGCCTCTTTGAGGTCACTAGCTTAGCAGCTGTTGCACGCCAGGACTTTGTAGATTACTGGTTCAGTAACTCTGTCTTTCTGGACTCACGTCAAAGCTTCTGTGAGACCTTGCTGTATTGAAGCCCAGGAACAGGTGTTTGTGAAGTTACTGGAACATTCCCCTCTAGTTTTCTGAGTTTATGTTGACAGGGCCATTCTTTTTCCTGTGGATTCGGTAGGGAAGGGGAAGTGGCAAGGTATCCCTTCTCTCATGGAGAGGTGGAAGAGTTGGAAGTCGCAGGTTCTCCCCTCTTTTCCCTAGTCAGCTTAGGGACAGATCTCCCTATAGAAGAAAGGAGGCAGATAATGGGATCCCAGCTTGGCTAATTCTTCTCACATCAGAGTTGATGCTGCCCTTCCTACTCTCAGGGAGACTGAGAGGTCCATAAATTCCCCAGCCAGACAACAGTTCCTCCTGCTGCTCCCACTGCAGAGTCTCCCTCCAGAGTTCTTCATCAGCTAAAAAAGAGGTAGGATAGGGAAAAAGTACTTGGGAACTGAGCTCTGTTGTTAAGGGGAAGGAAGGCAGAGTGTCCTAAGCAATACCCCATCCTCCCCAAAACCTAAACCCATAAGGATATGGGCTCCATCTTTTTTACATAGTGCTGGAGCAAGGTGCAATAAGCAGGGGTTCAATAAGTCTTGGAGCCCCACACAAGTATAACAGTAGGAGCTTGGATTTGCATAGGGCTGTTTAGAGAAGTACCGGGGAGCTTATTTGCATGTGTTCCCTCCTGCTGAATGGCTTCACACCTCTGAAGTGTGGATTGATAGTGGATCCTCTTTTCCCTACCTCCATGCACACTTTGGCCTTGGTGCCCAAGATTGGTCAGCTCAGTGGTAACTGGAGGTAACATTTTCAAAAGTTCCTAAGTCACTTGGGAGCTAAATCTGAGTGACTTTCAAAGACAATTATGTTCCTAGGTGCCTACATCTCTTCAGAAATTGAGATATAGGGTCCTACATCACTTAGATGCTTTTGAACATTTTACTCCTAATATAGATTACAGGTTATGCACATTACTGACACAAATGCAGTACATTTTAAAGTAGACTCTAGTAGATTTACCACATTTCAGTTGAAATGAATTTAAATTTTTAACACAGATGAACTAATTGCAAATTTAGTTTTTAATTAAACAGGATGTTTGATTTATATAGTTTAAAATTAGATTTAAAAGGACAACAGCTTAACTATATTTAGAAAAATATAGTGTAACATTAACAAAGCAAGCTACAAGAGCTGATACTTTATCAGCATGACATACTACTATTAATTTGACTGTGAAACTTTCAAGAAATAAATAACCTCATTTGAAAAATTCTGATGCCTTCATATATCACCCATAATTTGTTTTAACCATTCATTGCAGAGTAGAGTACTTAATAGTTAGCCTCCTGTTTACTGGAACCATCAAAAGTAAATTTAGCCTGTTTGAGCATAGATGGGAAAGAAGCTGTCTCATTTTTTATGTTGCAGCCAACTGCATTATATTATATTTAAAATGCTACTTTTATGAATTATAAACCATATTTCCTAATAATTACTATAGATAGAAACAAAATTTAGTGTATTTTATAGTGTTAGTACATTTTGTTCTATTGTAAACCATATTTCCTGATAATTACTATAGATAGACAAATAATTTAGTATATTTTTATATGGTTAGTACATTTTTATAGTATGGTAAACCATATTTCCTTATAATTACTAAAGAGATAAAAATTTATATTTGTATAGGGTTAGTACATTTTTATTACTGTACAATTTCTGCAGATTAAGTACTTTGTACTTTTTCTTTTTAAAGCAGTCACATTTCCTCTGGAACCACTTTTTTATTATTTATATAATTTACAGATGATGGCTCCATACACTTGTTTTCCTTCTTTTGCATTTCATAGTTTCTATATAAATGTATGTCCTGCTAATTCTGAAAGAAGAACAAAGCATCTGGGAGACATTGTAGAAGTTAATGACAGTGTTAAAATGATGACAGATTGCTTTAATGGTAGATATGCACTTAATTGGAGGAAGTATAACAAAATGTGCTATTTCATACTACTAAAAAGAGTCAGTCAGGAGCCATCACCCATTTACAGTCTTGTGTTAACCCAAATTGCAATGCACGTATAGTGTGATAACTGATAGACATTGCTAGGCATGTATTCATGTACTGTACATTCATTCCGACAACCCATTAAATAGTGTTTGTTAACCTTTAATTCAGATGTCTGCAATAAGATAATATAATGTAAAACACAAGTCAATGGAGGGTCGTAAAACTGTTTCGGCTACAGCTTTTATTAGCCTGTTATTCAATGCAGAATGCAGCTACACCCTGAAGCAAGTCTTGTATAAAAGTACGATATCAATATATTATGATACAAACTCAACCTATAAAATCAATGACAAGTATTATGTCTGTTGCTATCACCTTCTAAAATATAGATACTATTTTTAATGGATGCAACTGTGTTAGACTCTACATCACTGTGCTACTAACTTAACCCTTTAGGTATGGAACACACTTGTATGGCCCCTGGATGTGCACTGGAGGGTGCTGCAAAAATCAACAAAGTATAATTGGCAACAGGCTATTTAAATGTTCAACCCGTTTTAAAATGGAATTGAATCAGAACAAGATTCTATTCCAAAATGCATTGGTGGGCTGACTGGCCATTGCTCTGCACCTTTTGCAGTTACCTGAAACAGTGCAAAGTGTATGCAAATGTTACTAACTCAGAATGCTAGCATTTTACTCACTGTTTGCATTGATTAAAACAAATGCACAAGTTGCAGTGCCACAGAGAATCAGGCCCGGAAAAACTGGTTATGGTGATTTGTGTTCAGTTAAATAACTACTTACTGTCAATGAAGCAAACAAGAGTTACAATAGCCCACCTTAATTGATTACTCTCATTCGAGTTGGTATGACAACCCCCATTTTTTCATGTTCTCTGTGTTTATATATATATCTTCCTACTGTATTTTGGAAATACTGTACTCCTTCTGTATGGAACAATTGCTACATATAGAGTTCAGATAATTGGATAAATCAGATAAACTCTGGATACGCAAACATATTTGGGGGTCTTAGCTAAAGTCGAACAGAACCGCCACATCTTTTGATGCTGGCCCATCACTGATCATTAATAATGTGAGATTACGTACCTTTATTTATTCTTGTAAATAACGTCAACTCTTCCTATTAAGATCAACTCCTCACACCTTGTCAACTGCTTTATTAGCATTGTTGGCAAGTTCTGCAGAAGCTTTAATTAACCACTCGTCATAATTATGGCTAGTTTCCAAAATGATCAAGGTAAATAATTTACGCAAGGTTTATAAAAAAAGCTTTTACTTACTGAAATACTGTATCTAACAAAAACTTCTTAAACACTGTCATGCTGCCTGGAGCGGCTCACAAACATGGGTGTCAACCTCAGGGAAGACTGTTAAACACCAGGGCACAAACCCCAAACTGGTTGTGTGTTCTATAATTAGATTTCACCAATCAAGTATCAATTATAAAATTCTCAAGTACCATAACAGTCTTACCATGGGGCCACAAACAGTCCCCTTGGGCACTCTGGTCTATCTTGCCACCCAGGCAAGCCTGCTTTTGTGCTGGATTGTCCTTTATACCAAAACTCACAACAATATTCAGGTTAGTCCCAGTCCCAAAGGACCAGTCACTTACCACAGGTCACTTGTACCTCAGATCTCTCACCAAAGACAACGCTTATAGACAATCCTGTAATAAATGAAATAAAGATTTAACAAGGGAAAAGAAATAAGATAGTTATTTACGTGGTTAAAGCAGGTAAACATACTCACACAAATGAGTTAAAGATTTAGGTTTCAAACAGAAGTTGCTGTAACAGAAGTTGCTGTAATATGCAAGCTCTATATATGCTTAGGGCTAACCCATGCTAAACAGCTTGGGGATCTCTTGATTAAGTTTAGAAATAATGCCCTCTCCAAATTCCAAGCAGCATAGTGATACAGTTCCTTCTGGTCAGGGGATTTTTATTCCCTTCCCACCAGAGTTCAAACTGTGATGGGATGAGTATTGTGCATTTCCCTTCTTCCTGGGCATTGGGGGAGAAATCAACAAAGTCTTTTCTCCACTGATGTTCCATAATGGTTCATCTAAAAGCCTTTTTCTGTTGGGCAGGAGATGAAACCTCACATGGTAAACTAGTATTTCACACTTGGTAATACCTGTCTCCCGACCCTGCGGGTCTCCAGCTTCATAGTAAACACTTTTATAGTTACAAAGCAAACACTTAAATAGTACCTTATAACATGGGTATAGATATAAGTGAGATCAATACATGCAGCAACTCACAAGCATTTCATAAAGTCCAAACCGTAAACACATTCTTATAAACTTAATATCTATTTTAACAATGCTAACACACAGGTTCCCAGCTCTGCATTTGTCAGTGTTCAGTGAGGCCTAGGGGCCTTGGCATGAGCTGGCAACTGGTCTGCCAGCATCACAAGTACATATAGAAAGATAATTAAACTTTTCAGTGCACATAACATTTGGAAGTGAAAAGTAAAAAACAAAAAAGTGGACAATTGAATAAGCTCCGGTTGATGATGGACATTAAACAGGCTGTGAGGAACACTGAGTGCAGAAGTTAGTTTTAACTACACTTTTTAATATTTTTCCTCTCTGATGAATTCTCTTGGTAAATCCTGGTTCAGCCAAAGGTATTCCAGAATGAGACATAGTGTAACACCAGATACTATGGACTGCATGTGTTGCAATGAGATTGGTATCTGTGGTGTCACTGTGATGTCATCACTCTTAGTATCTTCAGCAGACTAAGAAATATTAAGAGAATGTCTCAGAAGGAAAAGGAATTTTAAAGAACTCAGTTAGAATGTATTTCTGTACCAAATGCATCTCCCCACCTCTGTGCTGAAAGCTTCCAAAATTATTTTGCTTAAAACTGTTTTCATTTTTCTTTATAGCTCAGTTTTAAAAGGTGGGCTTTTCAAAAGCAGTCAGCATTGGCCAAATGCTGCTGAACCAGAGCCATAATAATTGCTAATGTTGCTAAAAACTATTTTCATGAAACCTTAAACTTTTATTCTGCCCTCAGTACATGAATGTCATTCCCATTACCCTTAATTAGTGTTCTATGTGCTCCTTGAGAGGAAAATAGACCCTTTAGCTATCAATTGTGACTTTTGAAACAAAAAAGTCATAACCTTTTTGAGTTTCTGGTTGAAATAACTACAGTCTAAATTCAGTTAACAATTGTGGCAGATAGGACTCAATATAGAGCACTAGAAATATTGTAAATATGAAAATGGTGGTTGATTTTTTTTGAATGACATCTAAGAGTGAGATAAACATTTATAAACATTTCAGTTCTTTTTAACATTGTTTCCTGTCTTTTCCAGCTATCAGTCTTCAAGATTAACCACCTGACTTCTGTGGAATATTCCAGGTGTATTCTGACACACTGTACACAATTGCTTTCCTGGCATATGCATGTTACCAGGTGTGTTTTAAAGTACCACAGATTTCTATTGAATATTAATGGATAGTAGCACTGAAAATATGGTGGAAAAAGAGTCTTAAACGTTTGTATTTATAGCTATTTACCTACCTACACACTATAGTAGTGATTGCCCCTGATAACCATAGGTGCCATGGCATACAACTAAATATCATAATAAAGTATTCTAATTCCCCTTCTTCACTTTCTTATTGGAAGTCCAACCTATAAGGTGTTACGCTCCTCCAAGAAATGTCTTATGATACTGGGCTCAAATTTTCACTTTTCAGAGTGCTATATCTCAGCCCAAAAGCAGGGTGTGTGTGTGTGTGTCTGTGTGTGTGTGTAGTTTTGCACAAAAGTGGTTGAAGGGTATTTTATCATGAGGAGAACAGTATTGTGAAAAAGAAAACATTTGATTTTAATTTCAACATCTCTCATGTCTCAACAGTTAGCGTTAGAATGCTGAAACCTGGCTTAGAAAAAGCCATTATTGAGGGGACGTCCAATGAAAATTCAGTTTGACTTGATTGAGTCATGAGCATATAAAAATCTGACTCTTTGCACACACAGTGCATGTTGGAGACCTTGTGCCCACTAAGTGAGGTGGCACAGCCAAAGACTGCCATGCTGTGAACAATGTAATGAAGGCGAGCAGTATGTGAAGTGGTGATTCACAGGATCTGGACCAGGCTGTGTTTCACCTATGTTCAGCCATAACCAAGTTTATCAGCCATTGTGTAGAAGAGCATAAAGAGTGGCTGTGACGGGAGCTGAAAGCAATAAAGTGGCATATTCATGTTATATTAGATAATGCAGGAACCTTTCTTCTGAACAGCTTAATCAGCAAAACAACTGAGAGTAAGACAGGTACTATAATTCAGTGTCTTCTGCAAGATGAATGCTTAATTTCATCTTTATCAAGTGCTTGCAACACTATTCCTCAGACCAGTAGGATAAACAAGTATTGAAGGAGACACTGGGAGCACTCATTGCAGGGGTTTAGGTACCTCAGACCACCTTAATACGTGTATGTGCACACATCTACATCTAGACTTTTATTTAATTCATGATGAGACAATATCATCTACTTTCATGATCGTCCTCCTAACACTTCTCCCAGAGTGAGGTAATGCAGATGACACCAGAAGAGGCAACAGCAACAATAGTTACAGCATGACTTCTCAGGCATTACTCTGAAAGCCTGGAAAGTCAGGCTGTGACCCTAAAATGCGTGGGGTCAGTGGAAAAGTCACCAGAGCTAAAAAATGACAAGATCACCTGAACTACATCCCCAATCCTAATCTTCTATTCAAAAGCCTAAAATGATCAAGAATATTAGGCATCACCTCATACAACTGATCATTTTTCTCAGCACTGGTTTTACCTGAATATGAAGGGGCAGATTCAACACTGCCTTGTGGTCCCTTTGTGCTGGCTATACCGGTTTGCCAAGGATAAAGGGTGGGCCTAACACCCATGTGGTGAATAGCATGAGGAGACTATATGCCAGGTTCAGAACCCATACCATCAACTCTGCACTGCTCCTGCAGAAGACTCCGTCATAAAGAATGTTCCAAGGTAGGCTGGGGGGCATATTGGGGATAGGCCAGAGGACTGAGGGGATAGATCAGAATGAGGAAGAGGTTGGCTGGAGTGCTCTTGTGCCTCAGTGATTCCTCTCAGAGCTGCCTTAGTGTATGCCGAGGCCCAATTGTTCCCTGGAGGCCATGAATAGGGGTGGTGTATGCTGCCTCCCCTTGGTCCTGTGAATTCATCTGGAAGCTGTTAGTCCACTAGTATTTCAAATGCTAGCAACCAGTGCCAGTGAAAATCACATGTAAATTAAATTATAATGGACCAAATTCATCACGAATAAGAAAGCCATACATTTATGTGGTGGCCCTTTAGTAGCGCAGTAGCTGCACTACTCAGGGGGCCACCATATAAAAAAACCAAACATATCCCTGGCTGGAGAGTGGGGCATGCATCTATTATGATACTTTTATCATTTGCTTTCAGACAGTTTTGAAAACTTATCTTCAGCAGCATCTCTTAGGGCATGAATTTTCATACACTTGGGCTTAGTGTATGATTTTCTAATCTTTGTTGTAAACCATCTCTCTTTCCTCTGTATAGTAAATAAGATCTAGTGGATACACACTGACTAAAATATCCCCAAGACACTCCCTTTGGTGTTTTTGATTTGCGAGACGCTGCTCTTTGCTATACTTTTAATCACTGATTTAGTTTGATGTGGTACATTCTGGTAAGGTAATACCATCTGTGGACATTTGGTTTTCCATTGATATGCTGCTGAATGACTGCATCTTGCCAGTCACTGCAAGAGTAAATTTACAAATGTATCTAGAAGAGCTTTTTTCTTATCAGAAGCTGTGCATTTTCAGAGAGCAGTATAGTACAATTCCAAAATGCACTAAAAGATGCATGGAATAACTAGTGCTGCATATTCCAGTCAGCTACGACATGAAATATGGTCTTCCTCAGATTCCTCTTCTTTTATCTCCAATATTAGTGCCAACAATGCATGACTACACTATGGAAGACCATAGAGTAGCAATGTAATAAAGTGGTTCTGACTCTAGCTGGTCTCAGATTGACCTGATGGGGCTCTGAACACCAATGAGTGTTTCACTGCCCTCCAGCCAGTGCTGTGCAGTCCTTAGTTTGGAGAGCTGCCATTGGTAAATCCAGCTTTGCCTTGAAATCATGACATACATGGTCTGGCAATTTACTGCCAGTAGCCTCCTTGTTTTCATTCTCACTGGGCCTATTGGTAAACATACCAAAACAAACATAAAACAGGTGAGCTGGTCAATTCATAGTAAGGTGTCCACCAGATCTATTTGCTGTGAGTATGCCCTGAAATGCACAATAAGGAATGGTCAGCATGTGACCCATGCATGCTTGTTGGAATGGGATAAAAGGAATGACAGTCTGGTCCCATGCCATGGTGGTTGGGAAATGAATGATGTGTAAAATGGTGGTTGGAAGAGGGATGATATGCCTTGTCTCTCAGCCCTCTGTTCTATGCCAATGGGGTTTATATCCAGGGGATCTCAGTGTGATTTGGGGATTTCTTTGTATAGCACCTTGTCCTGCAGGCCCCTAGAGGACTAGTGGTTAGGCTCACTAGTTTGAATTCAGTTGTGGACAGTTAGGACACTCTCTTTTATAACTAATAAGGAGGGGCTATAAGGAAGCCA